TGTGGGCCGGCAGAGGAAAGACACCTGGACACAGAACTGGTTAACCATCAACCTGCACCGTTAGAATATTTATAACTAGTACTGAAACTTCTCTGACTCAACACACGTGATGTCACATCCTCCAGACAACACCTGCAAAATTCAACTCAAACTTCTATCTACTGCCCTCTGCTGGACACAGATCTGGAGCCACTGCTTTCTGTGGGATTTGATCACAAAGACTGACGGAGACAAACCGCTGATAGGTGGCGTCCTGATGTCATTTCCTGTAGAACCGACCGCTGACTGAACCAGTACAAAAAAGTTTCCTCCAGGTCCTGAACACCAGAACTCCTTTGATGGTTGTTCTGTTCCAGAGTCAGTTCTACGGAGCGGTACTGTTTTCAAACACCTGGATCACGGTCTTTCCTCGGGCGTGGCCTTTCTCCACTTTCTCAAAGGCCTGAGGAACCTGGGAAAAACTGAACGTCTCCTCCACCACTGGTCGGATCTGAGAGAGGGAGGGGAGGGGAGGGGGGGGGGGGGGGGGAGCAGAGGGAGGGGGAGAGGGTCTTCAGTGGATTCAAAATCATTCTGTTTAAACAGAAACATTGACTCAAACTGATCTCTGATGAAGCTGACTCGTCATCTTCACTGTCTACTCTTTCTGAAGCTAAGCTAAGCTAAGCTAAGCTAAGCTAGCCCACTTCTGCTACCCCCTCCCTCTCTTTTCTTCCAGCTCATGGATGTAGAATGACTAGTAGAAGAAGATTCCTGAGGGTGTCCCAGTCCAGCTGCTGACCTCTGACCTTCTGTTAGCTAACGCTCATTTCTCCAGTGTTCCAGGAGGTGGAGCTGTGGTTCTGTACCTGTCCTGCGTCCACCATCTCTGTGACCCGGTCCAGAGCAGCACCACTGGGTGAGAAGAAGCCCCAGCGGTAGTGGACTCCTCTGGTCAGGTGCTACAGGAAGAAAGAAGGTCAAAGGTTAAAGGTCCAAACAAATCTGTGACCACTCTCATTGGTCGAAATAAAAACTGAATGGTCCATCCAGGTCACTGGTCATACCATGGCGCTGCACACTCTAGTACAGTAGGTGGCAGTATCTCAAAGTCACTAGTCATCAGCCAATCACAGCTCTCAGGTTTCTAATACAGTGGACCCCCAACACCACCCATCAGTGAACTAAAAACCAATTAATTAGTTCCAAATAAACTATTAATTAATTAAATTAACCTCCATCTAAACATCAAAGACACAGATATAAACAAATCTATTGATCACAACAAACATTATTGTTATAAAAATGAGTAAAATAACCAGAGAGGGAGACAGCGCCACACAGTGGTGGGGCCACTAAGGTAGAAGAAGGATTCTATATATATATATATTTTTTATTTTATTTTATTAAACGTGGCTCTTTGGCCCCTGGTTTGACCACCCCCCCCCATCACCTTCAGGGCCTTGGTGGAGAACGTCACGGCCGACTGCATCATTCCATCTGCGATCCCCAGGGAGTCGGTGTTGTGGAGGAACGGCGTCACCAGGGTCACGTACTTGGCCCCGCCCCACGGCTTCAGCAGCTTCAGTGCCCATCGTTCTGTGTCGCCTCCCACATTGTCCAGAATCAGGTCAAACCTATGCCACCTGGACGGCCCCCAGGCCCCTCACCAGCCCCACGGCATTCTGGGAGCAGGTAACAGTCACATGGGCGCCCCACGCTTTAAGCAACTAAACACATGAACAGGTGAACAGATTACCAGGTGAACGGATTACCAGATGAACAGATTACCAGGTGAACAGATTACCAGGTGAACAGATTACCAGGTGAACAGATTACCAGGTGAACAGATTACCAGGTGAACAGATTACCAGGTGAACAGATTACCAGGTTAAAAGTGAATTTCTCACAGAGGTGATGTCACCCCCCCCACACCCCACCCCACCCCCCACCATCTCTTCTCGTCATCCGTCATTATTACCTGGATGGCGAACGTTCCCACTCCTCCAGAGGCTCCGAGGATCAAAACCCTAAAATGGAGGACAGTGTGGTTTGGAAGGTTAGTCTACAGACTGACTGACATACAGACTGAAAGTCTACAGACTGACTGACAGACAGTCTACAGACTGACTGACAAACAGTCTGACTGACAGACAGTCTACAGACTGACAGTCTACAGACTGACTGACAGACAGTCTACAGACTGAGTGACTGACAGTCTACAGACTGACAGTCTGACAGACTGACTGACAGACAGTCTGACAGACTACAGACTGAGTGACAGACAGTCTACAGACTGACTGACAGACAGACAGTCTACAGACTGACAGACAGACAATCTACAGACTGACACTCTACAGACTGACAGACAGAGCCAGTCTGTGATGGCCTCACCTCTTGTCAGCACAGTTGTCCTTCCTCAACCCCCCAGTGTTGACCAGTGCTGACCAGACCGTGGTGGCCACGTACGGGATCGCTGCTGCCTCCTTGTGGCTCAGTGACTTTGGTTTGTGGGATATCTGGGCGGAGCAGAGATCAGAGGTCAGAGGTCAGAGGTCAGTGGTTCTGACGCGGCTCCAGATCAGAAACTAAACATCTGAGTCGGTGAACACCACCTCATTTCCACTGAGAACAACAAACTCGGCCAAACTGCCCTCCTTCCACGGTGGGATCGCGGCCCAGACCTGGACGACAGACACAGACCACAGGGTACAAGTACTACATGAGTACTTTCATTAGTGTACTCGCTGATACACTGACACTTTACTTCATTAATATTTGGATACACAGTTTCAATCTAATTATTTTGTATGATCCCCAACCCCTGGTCCACGGAACAGCACCGGTCCGCAGAGAGACACTGAGTGATTTCATTCAACGTGAATCCACTGACTGTCTGTTCATCTAAAGATAGTAATCTGCAGTACTGACAGAAGTGTAACGGGTGTTTGATTTGGAAAACTTAATGATAATCCAACAGCTGGTCTGCAGTAACGGTCGGTACCAGCTGACTGGTCCCTGGTACAAAACAGGTGCCCCCCCCCACAGAGTCTGCCGTCACCATTCATTCAGTGTAGCCAGGGTGGTGGCCCAGTAAGAAGTGGACCAGGTGGACCAGGTGTCAAAAGCTCTGGGGGGGAAAAAGGGGGGGGTGATGCTGTTGTGATGTCACACCCTTCAACGTCACCCAAGGACACACACTCACTGACAGCCTGCCAGTGGCTCTGCCTGTAGTACATCATCACACCACCAGGGGTCCTCAGCATGAATCAGAGCGTTGTCCGACACACACACAGCCAGTACCTCATCCCTCTCCCTGAAGTACTTGACGTCCAGACCACACTCCATGACCACCCCCGACACCTCCCTCCCCAGGATCATTGGGAACTGGCAGCCGGCCTGTTTCAGGCGGTAAGGGTCTCTCCTCATGGACAGAGACGCTGAGCCGGAGCCCCCTGACAAGGGAAAGGTCAAAGGTCAGAGAGGTTCGAAAAGCTGGAACTTTAAAATCGACGTCATCCAGGTGAACTACATCACAACCAGAAACTCTGAGGTCATGAAGTACTGCAGTATGTTGGGACATGTACTGCACACATGTACTGCACACTGTCATCAGCCAACAGAGGAGTACTAAAGTACTACACACATATATACCTTAAAATAACTCCTTAATACCACATGCTTCATCAGAACATACACCCCCTCATCTGGAGGGAGGGGGCGTAGCAGGGCAGTACTCTGACCACAACAGAAATACTACAGTACTAATGTACTGGACACTGAAATACTACATACAGCCTGGTACTTAATCTGATCGGATTTTTCTAGAACGCAAAGCATTTTGTTCTTGATCTGAACTTAACAACTGCAGTCGCTGCCGCGACCTCTGCAGGCCGTGAACTGAACTGACACGTTCTGTTACATTAGTTTTTACCTTGAACAGTATCGAATCATACGTGGTTGTAACCGTTAACCCTGTCACAGGTCTGTTACTCACCCCTCATGGCGATATCCACTGGGTTCAGTCCCGCTGCATGTACTTTGACGATGACCTCGTTGGGAAAACGGATGAAGGGAAAATTGGCGTCGTTTGTGAAGCGTAAAACATCATTCTTACCGTATTTGTCAATGACCCAGGCGGGCATGACCGTCATGCACCGGCTGGAGCTGCTGAACAAGCGGGAAGCTGACTTGTTCCCATGTAGTGATTTACTAATTCGTAACAGCCACTTCTTCTGTACCAATACATTAACAGAAGCCATATTTAAATTGATTACAAAGTACAGCAGCTCTCACGTACGTACGTAAGACTGACTTGGCTATGCTAACTCTGGAGAGCATTCGACGTCAAAGTTCGGTACAAAACGTTACAATGTGTTGCTATAAACCCGCTGCTTCGTTCAAACTGTCCTCAATATTTGCTTCACAATCATTTCATGCTATTATCGAAAGTTTAAACACCGTTTCCTCCTCCTCCTCCACAGATCCTTCCTGTACCGGTGTGTTTACGCCTCCAGCCTGTAAACCAATCAGAGCGCGGTTCACTCACCTACGGCCCAATCAGTGCACACGCTGTAAGACTGTGGCTGTAAAACCAACATGGCGGCCCACCGCAGCTGCACACCGGGGATAGGTTGCGCATAGTTTTTTAAGGTTATCACAAGGATACTGTCAACATGCTAAACCTCACAATAAAAGAGGTCAGTGTGAGACTTTTATTATTACTTCGTCATCGTCACTCGTCTTGATTTTTGTGTTTTGACTCATTTACTGTGTATTTTTATTTCAAAACGAGTCAAAGTAGTTTTTTGGACTACGCCAAAACCAAGTCATTTCTAGCTGCTGTACCGCCTTTACGTTTTAATCCCCGTGTATAATATTTATTTATATTATTTTATTTGGTATTTATAATAAAATATGCATATATTTAATACAACATATAAAAGTTAAAGCTATCTGCTAATGAATTCACTGGTAAAAGCATTAAGTCCAGCACACGTCAATGTTATTTCATTGACTTTATAATTATTATATTACTGTTTCTGTTACAATATAAAAATGAAAGTGGAGTCAAATGGTGTCAGAAAGTCTTTAAAATGTCAGTTCCATCTGTTTTATGTCAGATTTATGGGGAATTTCACTCACTGAATTCCTCATTCAGACATTTCTCCCGGCTCTGCCCACCTACTCACTGAATTCCTCATTCAGACATTTTTCCAGACTCTGCCCAGTGATGTTGCCTTGTGTTTCCAGGTTTCCTCTGCCTTCAGGGAGGGGACGATCTCTCCCACAGAACTCTGCAGGAAGTGTCTGAAGCTGATCAGTAAAACTCAGCACCTGAACAGTTACATCACGGTGACGGAGGAGCTGGCTCTGAGGCAGGCTGCTGAGGCGGAGCGCAGGCTTCTGCAGGGTGTGGACAACAGGACACCGGTGGGTTTGGATCTGCCCTCTGCTCCGTCACTGCTACTAACGCACCGTTTGTCTTTCCTCTCCCTCCGTCAGGTGTTCCCAGAGGAGTTCTGGATGGAATACCGTTTGCTGTCAAAGATAATTTCTGCACAGCAAACGTCAGGACCACGTGTGCCTCCAAGATGCTCTCAGGTGCGTCTTTACCTCCGTGTTCTGGTCCGTCCTCCACGACACCGGTGTCAAACCAGCGCTCTTTACCTGTGGGTTTTTCTGACAGATTACGTTCCACCCTACAACGCTACCGTGGTTCAGAAGCTCTTGGACCAAGGAGCTGTGCTGGTGGGCAAGACCAACATGGATGAGTTTGCCATGGGGTAAGACCATCGGTGTTATGGATGAGTTTGCCATGGGGTAAGACCGTCAGTGTTGGGATGTCCGATAATATTGACCGACCGATCTCATCGTCCCGATATTAGCATAATTATGTAATAAATACGTTATCGCTTTTTTCCTTCGATAATAAATACCCGATAACGCAACACCTGGGTTTTGCCTAAAAATAGTTTTAATATGTAATTCTTTTTTTGTTTTGTTTTTTACCTTCATTTAGTCGATCTGTTCACGTCTTTGAATGAAACGTAACGTTGTTGTTGTTGATCCTGAAGAGCAGGGAGCACGGATGGAGCGTTTGGGCCGGTGAGGAACCCTTGGAGCTACGCTGCCCCCTACAGAGAGCAGACAGGGAAAACTCCAGACTCTGACTGGGTCATCACTGGAGGAAGTTCAGGAGGAAGTGCAGCAGCGGTGGCCTCGCTCACTAGTTTTCTGTAAGAGAAACATCTAGAATGTTTGGTTGGTGTCGTGAGGTCGTTCTCCCTCCCATCAGTCTGGAATGTTGTTATTCCACAGGGCGTTGGGTTCAGACACTGGAGGTTCAACTCGGAACCCAGGAGCACACTGTGGGGTCGTGGCCCTAAAACCAACCTACGGTCTGCTGTCCAGACATGGACTCATCCCTTTGGTCAACTCCATGGATGTCCCCGGCGTCATGGCCCGCACCGTGGCAGACGTAGCCGTCGCTTTAGGTCAGAAACCTGTCGGACTGACTTTTTCTGTTCATTGTGAAAGTGGTTCCAACCTGAGGTTCTTCTGCTCCGTCACCCAGGT